GTTTCCAGCCCCCCCCCAGGGCCCCCCCCCCCCGGTTGACCGAGCTGCCTTGAGGAGCTGGATGCTGAGCTAGGTTTTTCACCTCCACTGCTTTCCAATGTGTGACCACTAGGGGGGGGGGGCATTTATTCTATCCCCAGTGTGGTTTAGTAAGACACGCCTCTTCCCCCCCTCCACCCCCCCCATGCCACAGACCAACCCAGTAAGGTCCCATACCTCCATGTTGCTAATGAGAAGTTTAAGGCCGCCATAGTGGTGACCCATCTTGGCCACACACAAAAAAAGCCCACAAGAGACATTTCTGGGGTCTGGCCCCACCCAAAAAAAAACTCCACCCCCTTTTTTTGTGTTTCCTATAAGCTCTTTTATTTCACTCTGCTGTAGATTATACCAGACGTGACGATATCAGACTCCCATGTTCATAATTTTTCGGCAGCCTCTATTCTAAATGATTGAAAAAGTACAGAGGCTCCTCCCCATTTGTTCAGAAACTATTTTACTATCATCCAGTTTCTGAATGGGGAGGAGCCTCTGTACTACTCCCCATTGAGAAACTCATGAACGAACAGGAAGTGATGTAAAGCACTTCCTGTTCATTCATAACTGGGGACACGTAGTTCTCGATGTCCCCGGTTATTTACAAACACCGGAGTGGTCAGCTGATCGCTGCGGTGTTTGTCCTGCACCTGATATGTACCGATCCTCCGCCGCTCGGCCACGCCCACAGGGGGGCCTGAGCTTCTCCTCTGGATCTCCCGGGCAGCGGGGGATCCGAGGAGAAGTGAGGGAAGCAATTCAGCCGCAGGGGGCGGAGCCGCTGTCACAGCAGCATGTGCGGTGAGGAGAGAGAGAGCCGCCGGCTGTCAGATCCATGGCCGAGCGTCTCTCTCTGCTCACCGTGCTGCTGTGATAGTGGCTCCGCCTCCTTCGCTTGTCCTCGGATCCCCGCTGCATACAGATGGGGGATCCAGAGAAGCCCCACGGCGGGAGGAGAGGACATCGCGATCGACCTAATGGCTGTACATTATACCAGACGTGACGGTATCAGACTCCCATGTTGATAACGAGGAGGCCGCCATAAGTTGTGCTCCATGTTGGCCAAAGAAAGCCCGCCCCCTCGGCTGAGCCTGCAGAGACGGTTTCCGGGGTCCAGCTCTACCCCC